GAATAAAATTTTCCCCAACTCTGATTTTTCCTAAAACTATTGTCTCAAAATTATTGTACAAGCGGGAAAATGAGGGGTTCCTGAGATCATTTCAAGTAACTTTTTCCTCAGCGAAAATGCAGTCCGCGGCTTCGTTTACGAGTTATTAACGAAAAAGTATGACCAATGAAAGGCGTGATTAGCTGGCGCGAGACGGCCGAGCCAATGAGCGGTCGAGTCAACGAGTGGCCGAGCCAACGAGCGGCCGAGTCAACGAGTGGCCGAGCCAACGAGCGGCCGAGCCAACGAGCAGCCGAGCCAACGGGCGGCCGAAGCCCAGTTCCGCGCTCATTGGCTCGGCCGCCTTGCACAAGCTATTCATGCCTCTCATTGGCCACTCTTTTTCGTTAATAACTCGTAAACGAAGCTGCGGATTGCATTTTCGCTAAGGGAAAAGTTACTTCAAATGATCTCACGAACCCCTCATCTGTTACGCAACTCTAAATTGTAGAAATTCCCATTCCACGTGTATTTAAAATGTATAATTAAATGCAATTAAATATATCATACGTGTTAACATATTATAAGTATTTATACTTTCTTTATATCGCTATATCTATAATAACAAAATATTCGAATACATATCGGATTTTTACGAAACTAAATTGTGGTACACAAAATGTCAATTCATAAGTCAGAAATTTAACGAACGTAATAATTTCTGTTACATAATACGCTTTAATCAATTAACTTCCTGCTTTGGAAGCGCGTGGCTTAAAACACGGATATATTCAATACACGCGCATCCTCGATTCACGTTCAAAATCGTAATTCCTACTAATTGCACCACTAAATTTCTGAAACCGAAGCAGCTGCGAGTACCATCGTCATTTATTTAATTACTCCAGGCTGCATCTACTTTTCTATTAACCACTAGCAAAGAGTCGTGAAAACCTCGAAATCAAGATCGTCGAGTGCGCGCTCGAAAAGATATCGATTCCGCAGTTCGTAAACTTCTGCTGCAGCCCTCGTTTCAGAAAATACGAGCAATATTTTCGTACGTAATGTGCATAGAAAAGAGATTGAAATTCCTCGAATCTTTCTCCTCTTCGTCTGCATACATTGCTTCGTCCTACATTAGGGTCGTTCGAAATGTTTCAGCTACGCCTGCATCCACGCGGTTATTTATGGAAAAGAGTCGGCGGGAGTCTAGAATCGGAAGGGATCGAACCGAAACGTGGAAAGTCGAATTAGAAGCGACGGCATGGCGGAGCAGGGAGAATTACTGGAGTCGGTTGTGAAGAAGGGCAATCATTCCGGACGGGTAATAGCGAAGTAATGGGGTTCCGTGGAGTGTTCCCCTCCCCCCGTTCCCCCGTTTCGGCCACGGTCTGCAAATTTATATCGCCGTTCCATTCTTTTTTTTTTCCCCACCACCGGCATTCGTGAGAATGGATTCGCGAATCGACGCGACGAATCGAATGCCAAGGATATTCGAGAGCAGCCACTCCGTCGCAGGGGTTCGAAGGAACACAGAATCCGTCTGGATTCGCCTCTCTCGGCAATGATTTGATTATCTGGTCGGCGACGCAAGCGTTTAATTCGAGGACTCCTTTAAATGCATAACGCTCTGCCGCGGCTCGTTGGTTATTTTTTCGCCCGCAGCCCCTTGTTTGCCGAGAATGGACCAAAATGGCGGAGATAACCGACTTACTAAAACGCCTAATTAAAACCTTGTACAAGGTGTTCAGCCTAACGGACACGCCGGGCTTTGAGGTATTTAGACTGATCTGACAAAACAGTGTTTGGAATAAAAGTTAATGAACACTTTGTGGAGAACAATGTACAATAATAAAAATTTCGAAAAATTACTTTATTCGATAAGAAGCTCAGGTCACCTTCGCGTTTTTCAATAGCACCATTTATTTTTTACTTTAGAGCGTTACAGCTGACAAAAATAACCTTTAAGAAGGAAGAAAAAAGAAGAAGAAGAAGAAAAAGGAAGGAGAATCCGAAAAAAGTATCTACTTTTTACATTAGTTTTATGATTTTATATTGTATCATATTATACTATATTACATTATATTACATTACAATTACATTACATTTACATTACAGTTACATTACATTTACATTACATTTACATTACATTTACATTACATTTACATTACATTTACATTACATTTACATTACATTTACATTACATTTACATTACATTTACATTACATTTACATTACATTTACATTACATTTACATTACATTTACATTACATTTACATTACATTTACATTACATTTACATTACATTTACATTACATTTACATTACATTTACATTACATTTACATTACATTTACATTACATTTACATTACATTTACATTACATTTACATTACATTTACATTACATTTACATTACATTTACATTACATTTACATTACATTTACATTACATTTACATTACATTTACATTACATTTACATTACATTTACATTACATTTACATTACATTTACATTACATTTACATTACATTTACATTACATTTACATTACATTTACATTACATTTACATTACATTTACATTACATTTACATTACATTTACATTACATTTACATTACATTTACATTACATTTACATTACATTTACATTACATTTACATTACATTTACATTACATTTACATTACATTTACATTACATTTACATTACATTTACATTACATTTACATTACATTTACATTACATTTACATTACATTTACATTACATTTACATTACATTTACATTACATTTACATTACATTTACATTACATTTACATTACATTTACATTACATTTACATTACATTTACATTACATTTACATTACATTTACATTACATTTACATTACATTTACATTACGTTTATATTACGTTTACATTACGTTTACATTACATTTGCATTACCTTTGCATTACCTTTGCATTACATTTGCATTACAATTGCGTTACATTTGCATTACAGTTGCATTACTTTATATCTTATTATATTATATTATATTATATTATATTATATTATATTATATTATATTATATTATATTATATTATATTATATTATATTATATTATATTATTAATATGTAAGTAAATTGTATAGAAATCATTGTATAGATTAATTAATTAAACAAAGGTAGCTATCGCCCGCGGACGACGTACAGACTAAATTAAACTCACAGAATTAAACTGCTGCGATAATTTTGTTACCGGCATGATCGAAATAGCGGAGCTAAATGGAGATGGGACATAAAGTATCGCGAATTCGCGGAGACCGAAGTCGGCCAATTTGTCTGTAGGAGCAAAGGGTGGGGAAGGTGAAGCCGATTCGAGGCGTTAAGAGCGCGCTCGCGATTCTAGGAGCCGCGCGCGCGGGGACATGCACATGTATGAGTTGCAAATTGCGACGACACTGATATCCGCGCGCCGGTTGCCGTCCGCCTTTTATGCGAACGAGTCTCTGGCCTTCATCCGCTTTACTTCCGTCGCGACCGAACGACTTTCGGGCATTCGGTAACAAGTTTCCTTTGAGCGGCGTCGCCCCCATCCTACGCCGCGACAAACAACCCGAAGAACCGAGGCCGACGGTTGCGACCGGCGATTCCAAGTTTCCAGGCGACACGTGCATTGTCTGAGTTACGTGAATAGCCCGGCGAATCGAATACAGCCGATGTAATTAAACTTCTTCCGAGGAAGAAGTCTTGAAAATTCGGAGAATCCGAGGATTGAATCGCGCCGTTTGATGCTCGACTGTCTTAGATTCGCTCGATGCGAGAGATTTCGAGATCTCGAGGTGGTCGTGCACACGATTAATATGCATAATTCGATCTTGTCAGTATTTTAACACTAGAAAACACTACCGAACCAGTGAAAATTACTGATTTGTGATATTTTTCGTTTACAATCCCACTTAGCTCTGCTATTTCGATCCTGCCGGTAACAAAATTATCGTAGCTCTTTAACTCTGTGAGTTTAATTTAGTCTGTACGCCTTCCGCGGGCGAAAGCTACATTTGTTTAATTTCTGGTATCTATGATACCAAAAAATTCATGTACAATGATTTCTATACAATTTACTTACATATTAATAATATGATACAATATTATATTAATATTATTATATAATATGCCATTAATAATAATGTAATATTAATATTATTATATAATATGCTATTAATAATAATGTAATATTAATATTATAATATAATATGCTATTAATAATAATGTAATATTAATATTATTATATAATATGCTATTAATAATAATGTAATATTAATATTATTATATAACGTAATATAAACCATAAAACTGTAAAAATGCTTTTGTCAGAAATTTGCTCGTTCAAGCATATATTATTATAAAAAACGAAGGAAGTTCAAATATATCCATCGTTATAATACAATATGTTAGTCACGTTCAGGGCTCGGTAGTTCTAGTCTTAATAACGTTTTCGTATAATATTGTTGCATGTTAGCTAGGCAAAAATTAACTTTCGATTATATTAATCTAAAAATTTCTTTTCAGAAATTTTAGATTAATTAATTTAGATTAATAATGAGCTTTTAGAAAACTGCCTTTAGTTCATCATTCTTCAATATCAATTGCCACGGCTGTTCTTTATAATACGTAAGGAGATTTTAAGCCGATCCTGTCGGACACGCTGAAAAATGGTCCACAAGTGGCGGAGCATGTCCGAAATGAAGTGGACCACGAGATTTCCTAACAAGAACGGTTTTCCGGCGGTACGAGCCGTGGATACGAAGCGATTATGTCGGGAAAAGAAGTATTTTATACGTTGCACGTGACTAATTATTTGCACGTGTGTTGGTGGGCGCGTGTAACCGGCTCGTGGACGCGTTACTATCAGCTCGTGGTACGGCCACGTACGAGGAAGACTATGGGCTATGCGAGTATGCGTAATCACGGGACGCACTGCATGCGTTGTTCCACTTGACTTTTCTGCGGGACCATAAGTTGCGGAGAGGAAATAGAATTTTATAGGGTGATGAAATGAAAAGTGGCTCTTTAATCGAAATAATGAACAATTAGACGCTGTACAGTACGTGGACAATGTTTTTAATTCAACGCACTCTTTCCCCGTGATGATTTAAACAATTTTTTCAATTTGGTCCGTAGAGGGTTCAAATAAATTCAGGCGATGGAAACCATCTTTCTTATTTACCGTACTTTAACGATCCTAACTGGCGATTTCCAGCAATAATTTAATAAGTATGACTGTTATTCCTTTTTTTATGTTGTTCTGTTCTCTTGTCACCAATAAACTGCGGATATCTGTGCAAAATCAACCATTTCTGTGTTAACTGGAAGAAACAAGAGTTAGATAAAAATATATTTCTTTATTTAGCGATATCGATGTATCGAAAAATAATGCGGTGATATTGTTAAATTGTTTTAATGTATTTACATGTTTGCACTTCGTCTACTAATTTCTGTTATAAATGCATAAAATCCGCAGTCTAGTCATCGATGAAACCTGGAAAACATAGGATGATGAGGAACGTGCTACAGTAAATACGGACGAGCGTTCGATAGTCAGCACTCTGTTAGGTTTTTATCAAACGTCGTTTCAGGACGGACAGCACGGGGACACGGAATTTTCAGTCACGTCCGGCAGAACGCAATTACCGATACCGCTGCCCGGTGACGTTCGAATCTCGGACCGCCGTTAATTGCTTAACGGGGTTAATAATTAACCCTTTGATTCCCCCCGTGAATTTCCACGGTATTGTTCGCCGCACTGTTTACGTCACCATAATTCGACTAAACGTGGCCGCCGTAATTTCCGGGGAAAATCGAGGACAAGGCTCGACGAGCACCGGAGGCCGCTTAAGTTGCGTTCGGAAATCGGAGAACTTCGTCAACTAATTCGCCGTTTCTTAATGGAAAGCCGCCGAAAATAGACGGCTATCGTCGAATTCAATTTTCTTGGGAAGAGACCGGCAAATTATTCGGGATTCTCGTTTCCCGGCGAAAATAACGTTACCCCCCCCCCCCTCCCCCGCGGAAAAATTGGATTTTTCAACGGGACTACTACTCCTCGTTCGACGCGTTTTCCTCTCGCAGTTGCACTTCCTTGCAATTGACTGTTCAATCTCTCTCAAATCCGATAAAGTCACGCGGTCTTTCGGGCACCACGGTGTTCGTTAAGACGCGTCCCAATGTAAAGACAGTTTATCAGTGTCGGAATGTTTGCACCGTCTACAGTGTTGCAAATGAATTGCTTGGCTGGCTCGATGATCGCCAGGTATTTGCTCGTCGGATATTTCCTCGGCGAACCTGAGCCGCGTTCAAACGGCAAACAACTCGAAATGTACACCCACTTTGTCACAGCGATCCCGATAGATCCGCGGAAATGTCCGCCAACTAATTTAAGCGTCGGCGACCTTGGCATTCGAGCCTCGAATTAGGATCGTTGGATCGGAAATAATTCATTTATCAAACGAAGGGGCTCGCCGTTTGCACGGGCGCGGCAAACTTTCAGCGATCTGGTACGCCGGAATTTTATTTGCGTCCACTTCTACCCGGAATTTGTCGAACGTTCAGCGAGTTCACAAATTCGCCGAAGTCATCGTCTGAAATACATCGACAAAGAGGAATCGGAAAATGTGGGACGTTGGAAGAATATTATCGAACTCCGTCAAGGCGATCCAAGTTCTAAGTATCGTTTACAAGATATACCGATCGCGGTTAAGAATAGTGGAGACTAAAAATACTGACTGGTTAGCTTGATGCATTAACCTTTTCGATCCGGCATGCTTGCTGCTAAAAGTTCCCAACATGGACAGAACAAGTCCTTCGAGTGCGATTTAACGCGGACACGTGCATTCCTCCAGCGTCTGGAATTTTTGTCACCAGACGCCTCGAGCCAAAATTCATTTTCCTCAAATGCTAAATGTTATCTTTAAGCAGAGCTTAATGTGCTGCATCGTTCGCCGTCCCTGCACTTCCACCGTGAATGCATAAAATCCGTAGTCTAATATTTATTTCTTCTGGATTGGTCTAAAGATAAGACAAAGCAATGACGAATCTCAGGTTACTTTTACCTGTACAATGGATTCCGGTGTCCGCGAGTTTCGTGATTGGTGGTGCCTAATATGAAACCGATTCTTTTTTAAAATCATAATTTTCGATTCAAAACACTTTTATGAACGCTAGATTTATCGAAATATTAGTTCAATCCTTTTGTATTCTCCAAATCCTACTGACATTCAGTTTGTTCAATATACGGTGACAAACTGAAGTATTCGTACACCTCTTTAAAAAATGCAATAACAAGGACTGCAGATACAATGACTAGAATACTTTTTTTCAATTCTGCTATTACTTGGAATGACGAAAAAGAAATCCTCGTTTTCAACTTTTTCATGCGACAAAAATGTTTAAAATGCGTTTTGTACATCTCAGAGATTCGAACAAGCTACAGACAACGAAAGATGTAAAAATTTGTGGATTACTTTATAAAATTTTAGGTTGCTCATTAAAAAAACCGATAATCCACATCGAGTGATACCTATCAAGAAAATCGAAACCAACTCTGTATTGATAGTAATAATAATAATAATAATAATAATAATAATAATAATAATAATAATAATAATAATAATANAAAGATGTAAAAATTTGTGGATTACTTTATAAAATTTTAGGTTGCTCATTAAAAAAACCGATAATCCACATCGAGTGATACCTATCAAGAAAATCGAAACCAACTCTGTATTGATAGTAATAATAATAACAATAATATTGTTTATTCGTTTAACACTAGATTTACGTAAAAATGATGGGTCACTAATTTTTTAATTTATTATTATTATTATTATTATTATTATTATTATTATTATTATTATTATTATTATCATCATTAATATTATTATTATTATTCATATCGTAAAGATACATTTATGAGTTACTTATTCAATTTGTACGTTACTTACGGCAAATGTTACAATAACACCTGTTAAAAATCCGAACAAATGTCTCATCGTTACTTTTATAAACTAATATAAAACCGCTGTTTTTTTTGTGCTCCGTGAATCTAGCGTTAGAAACGATAATATGTGTTCTTTCACAATCTACTGGAAAATAAAAAGTCCTAATATCAGAAATTCATTTATTTTCTCTCTGTTCACACGTTGGACGTATGCTTTTTTCCAGCACAAATTCAATGCACTATACACTAGCATTTATGAAAAGAATTATATGCTTACCATTTTTATAAGATATCCGTAATATAAGTAATCCTTCGAAATACATACTGATCTGGACGTCACGTGAAATCTCGTGACGTCACGTGACATTCGAATAGCGCGAGCCAGCGTACTTCCATTGTTTCGAATCTGTTGGATACAGCTCGGGATCACGTCACGCTGCGTTCATACATTGCCACGCGTGGTCGGATTCCACGTGGTTTCCTATGATTTCACGTGACGCGACATTAGCATTTGTTTCTACGTTGAACACGCAACGGAGAAGCGTCGACGCGACACTCGGTACATCAACAACGGAAATAAGCTGGAGTTTCATATTAGGCGATTATTCCTCGTATTAGGCAACTTTATCCTAAACGAAGTTTCGGGGCAAAGGGAGTTTCGAGAAATCGCGGAAAATCTTTCAGAGAAATCGGCGGGGAAGAAGGAAGCACGATGCAACCGAGATGCGTGCGATCGACGACTAGACGGCGGAGATCGAGGAACGGTCGCGTCGAGATATGTACATCGTGATCGAACGGCACGGCACGCACGCGGTAGCATGACGGCGCGGCGGCACACGCGTTTCGTAACCGGCGCGGAGCGGAGCGGAGCCGCGGAGACACACGCAGAAACGTGGCCCGCGCGCGGCGTGGCTGTGTTTTCCTCTCTCGCGGTGTCGCCTCCTCCCCTCCCCTTCCCTCACTGGCCGGCTGCCGGCTGCCGGCTGCTGGCTGCCGTTCCCTCCTCTCTGTCTCCCTTTTTGCGGGACGAGTTCGAGTGATACGCGAGATTGGCGCAAGGCCAGTCGGCGATTGCGTAACCCGCGTCACTGCGACTCGCTCTCGACCGCTCGATGAATGCCACGCCACGGCTCGAGGACCAGCCCCATCCCGGAAGACACCGAACGGTTCACCTGTTCAATTCTGCCCACCACCTCTTTGCCATTCGTCGGCTCTCTTGGCCACTCGGCCCGAGTTCGAGAACTGTTCGACAATCGAGGAAAAATGCGAATGAAAACTCTCGGGTTCGAGTTTCTAGGCTTTTCGAAGGGCGAGGCCCTCGTTGCTCTGCAAATCGACGAACGGTTCGCTCGTTCAATTCTGACACCGAAATCCTCTTCGCCGTTTGTCGACCCTCGAAACCGCTGGGTCTGAGTTAGGAGAACGGTTCGAGTGATTCAGGAAACGCGAACGAAAACTCTTTGATCGTGTTCTTGGCTATTTAAAGGGCGAGACGCGGAGTCCTCTCGTTCTCACAGATCATCGAACGGCTCTCGTCTGGTCGATTCTAACAACGAAAATCCTTTTTGTCGTTCGCCAACCTTCGAGCCACTCGGTCGGAGTTGGAGAACCCTTTGGGTAATTGAGGAAACGCGAATAAAAAGTTTTAGATCGATTGCCGGCTGTCTTGAAAGTTGATGTCTACAGTCTTTATTGCAGCAAGTCGACGAACGGTTCGTCTATTCAATTCTGGTCAGCGATATTGTTTTTATCATTTGTCCTCACTCGGTTAGGTCTCGGTTGAATGTGGATTGGAGGAAAGTTCAAGAATCAAGGGAATAATAATGATAATGATAATGATAATGATAATGATAATGATAATGACAATGATAATGAGAATGACAATGACAATGACAATGACAATGACAATGACAATGACAATGATAATGATAATAATAATAATAATTTATAGTGAACGGAAGAAAAGATCTGTGTTACAATAATATGTCAATACAGATTGTCCCAAAAATGTCTCGCAATCGGGAAATGAGAGATTCCTGAGGTCATTCGAAATAACTTTTTCCTTAACGGAAATGCGATTCGCGGCTTCGTTTATGAGTTATTAACGAAAAACAGTAACCAATGAGAGACGGGATCAGCTGGCGCGTGGCGACCGAGCCAATGAGCGAAACTGAACTACGTGCGCTCGTTGGCTGGGCCGTCTGACGTCAGCCGAGCTCGCCTCTAATTGGCCACCATTTTTCGTTAATAACTCGTAGACAAAGCCGCGGATTGCATTTTCGCTAAGGAAAAAGTTACTTCGAATGATCTCAGGAACCTCTCATTTCCGAATTGCGAGACATTTTTGGGACACCCTGTATATCGTACAAGTAGCATATCAAAGAGAACAATAGAAAATAAAATGAAATCAAAATAATTAAATATATTATTCTATTATATATTATTCGATTATTCTCGCTATTTTTCACTTTATTTAATTATTATTTAATTATTTTGACTCACTGGAGAGTCCAGCATTTCACCTAAATCTTTTCATTCGTATTTTATTTTTTGTTACTTTAATGATTTATTATGTGTATTATTCTCCATTATTCTCGCTATTTTTCACTTCATTTAATTAAAGTAACAAAAATTAAAATGCGAATGGAAAGATTTAGATGAAATACTGGACTCTCCGAAGAGTTAGATCTGGGGTCCTAATTGGAGAAAAATTCAGAGGACCAAGGAAGCGGCGAATGTTGAAAAAATGTTGAAAGACTCTGGATTGTCTGATGATCAAGGATTCATCAAATACGGCGGAGCCTCGTTTATTTGAACAGTACAAAAGGTAGAGCCGTGCGGAAGTTCGGAAACGAAAGACCGTCGTTCGAATAAAGACGCGTAAAGACTCGCCTCCTATCATTTCCCGAACGTCGGCATTATTTCAACGTGTTCGTATAACAGAGAATACGATCCATCGTAGTCCGGATCGCAAAGGCTCGTCTGAGATCGGACAATCGGGATCCAGTACCTCTTGCCACTCGTTTATTTTTCCAGACGGTTTTGAAGAATCGAATCGATTGGAATCATAAAACGAAAAGTCCTCGATAGAATTCTGGATTGATCGAGGATTATCAAGATCTAGGATCTCCACTGATCGAACATATCTGTCACTTGTTCCTCCAATCATTTTGAGAATCGAGACGATTTCGAAGGATCTTTATTGAACGGAGAATCTTAGATCCCTTAATAAAAAAAAAAATCGAAGCTCAGGATGTTCACACTCCGAAAGACAACCGCCGCGGGACTTTGAGCTAAGTAAGAGCATCACGCGATGAAAAGTTTGGATAGAATTCTAAATCGTTTGAGGATTGATATTCAGCATCCCACCTTCCCTAATGCTTTTAAACGATCGAATTCCTGTGTGCTATTTGAGAAGCTCCGATTCGGATTTTCAGAAGTTCCGAAAACTCGTGGAGTAAGCGGCGATATCGCTTGGTTGGATCGTACGGTGCGCGGTGGAAGTTTGAACGGTTTTGCATATTTTCTAAGCAACGGCATTGCTTATCGCACGGCGATGATTCCTGTCGGATATCGAATGGCACTGTTAACGATCGGACGGCGAGGAATCTTGTACAGAACTTCGGTTCCCTCGTAGATTAGGACTGCTGATTTCAGACGGAAAGCTGGGATACTCCCCGTTATAGACTGACAAAGTAGAGTGAATGGCTTTAGGGTGGAGTCGGTTCAGAAAGGAAGAAACGGAGAGAACGGTCGATAGAGGCAGGATAGTGTATGAGTGGAAAGGAGACGTTGTAGGAATAGAGAGAGGGAAAGATAGGGATCCGCGAATATGATGCGAAAAGTATGAGAAAGAAGAAAAAAAATATATGAGTAGTAAGAGGGCTGACAGAATTTGGAAGAAAAATTCGTGCTTGAAAATAGGGCAGGAGGAATATGTGAGTGGATAAAGAAGCGTGTGAAAATAGAATAAGAAGAATATTTTGTGGGCAGACGAAGAATGTGTGAACTGAGATAAAATCTGTGAGTAGAGAAAGAATCTGGGAGTAGCCGAAGATTTTGTAAGTGGAAGAAGAATATGTGAATAGAGGAAAAATCGGTGAAAGAACGATGTACAAATAAATAAAAGATATGAGTATAGAACAAGAATAATCTCGAATAGAGAAAGAAATTTTCTTAGTCGATAGTGGAGTGATCTACAAGATGTCCCATAATTATGTTAACACCCGGAAGGGGCGATTTCTGAGGTCATTTGAAGTAACTTTTTCCTTAGCGAAAATGCAATCCGCGGCTTTGTTTACGAGTTATTAACGAAAAACAGTGACCAATGAGAAGCGTGATTAGCTGGCGCGGAACTGGGCTTCGCGTTGACTCGGTCGCTCATTGGCTCGGCCGCCTTGCACCAGCTATTCACGCCTATCATTGGTCACTGCTTTTCGTTAATAACTTGTAAACGAAGCCGCGGATTGCATTTTCGCTGAGGAAAAAGATGCTTCAAATGAACTCAGGAATCGCCTCTTTCCGAGTATTAGTATAATTATGGGACACCCTGTGTAAATGGATACACAAATCATAAGTGCTCTAGCGATATGGAATACTAATAAACAAATCTATATACATAGATAGAAAAGTAGAGAGGAAGGGAAATAAAAAGGTTTCGGAATTAATTTTTAGAATCAGTGTCTGAACCGAAATTCACTTTCCACTATTCTCGGCGTAATCCAAGCTGATTATTCGAAGAAGGCGGTTTCATGAATACTAACTGCCTATTTGTTAAATATCGATAGAATCCTATTGTCGAGAAAATTTCAACTTGCGGATGCAGCAGCCGCGTGTAAATTGTCTGACTCGAACTTTCGTTTGTAGAAGTCATTTGCGCAGCTTGCAGCTGGTGCAATTTCTTCGAGATCGTCTGCACCCGGGCCATGCTGCGGAAAGTGCTACATAATGCGAAAACGATGTACACGCTTAGATATCGCGTGCCCTTGGCGATTTAGGCACTTCGAGGCGGTTATGGTTGCTCCGTCTTCTTTCCATTTCCTTCGAAGATTTGAGACAGCGGGTTATAGCACTTCTGAAGAGCAGCAACGGGACAAAATTAATATTAATATTAATATTATATTGATATTATATACCATTGTATTACGTAAAGTAATAGTTGTCATCCTATTTATGTATGTATTTTAATTATAATACATCTGTGGGGTTAGATGGAAGAACGTCGCATATCACATGCTTTCGTTTTCAAGATATCGTTGCTTAAAGATCGTTCTTTTTTCTGTAAAATGCGTAACAGCTATATCCTACAGCTGAATCAATGCATGAAATTAAATATTTTGAAATTATGACATGCGGCATTTTTTCTTACAGCCACAGACATGTAACGATCACAATTTTTTAGACCAAAACGTCCATACGTCCAGATTGTAAATCTGATGCTACGAGACATTAATGTCCCATTAGCAGTTTATGTTTGCCATAAATGAAAATTATGGACACTCTGTATCCGCTAATAATTCTTAACGGCTCCCCACGTGCTTCGTTACCAACGGAAGTGTTAAATCACTGCGACAACGCTTTCACTCGAACGACATCATACAAAGAAAAAAGGAAAGCTGCTTGTCCCATACACAAATAACCGTTTACAACGACAAGAACTACGCCGACGAGTTTCTCAATAACCTGAAAACTGCGGATATAAAATTCGTATCGGTTTTCGGCTCGCGTGCTCTTATCGCCGCTTTACGGTCGAGAAGCTCAAAATGCGTCGCTCGTTTCGCATCAAGTCCACCGTGGAAAGCGAACGTGGTTCCCAGGGAACCACGCCCGCCATCATCGTAAACTAAAAACAAGATCCTCGATCTCCTCCGCACGATCTTATTTCACCGCGTTTCTCCTCGAATGCGTCCCGCGCGACTTGTTAATTTATCGACCACACGGCGGCGA